CATCTTTTCTTGATGCATTCTGCATCATTCAATAATTTGCCCAGAGAATCTTTCAATAACGAAAGTTGAGGCTTGAATTTTTCTTCAGTTCCCCCAGCTTAAGAAATGCTGACCATGTTCTTCCCTTTTGGTTTTCTAACTCTAAATCTTTGCATATTTTATTATAGTATTTGGCTTTATCTTGTAAAATAGCTGCTATGAATATTGGTATACAAGTTTCTATGTAGATGTTCGTTTGGGGTACATACCTAGGAGTGGAATTGCTAGGTAATTATGGACTCCTGGTGTTGCACTGTCGGATCAGCACTGGACTGCGAACCACAAGGTCAGCAGTTCAAATCCACCAGTTGCTCCTCAGAAACCCTATACAGGGTAGCTATGAGTTGGAACCAACTCAACAGCACTTAACAACTTTGTAATTCTATGTTTAACTTTCTGAGGAATTTCAAAATAGTTTTCTATTAGTGGCGTCTTTTAAAATTCCCACTAGCAATGGGTGAAGGTTCTAATTTTTCAGCATCCTCACCAACACTCGCTGTGTGTCTGTTTAATAATAGCTGTCCTCATGAATGTGAAGTGGTTAAAGCCTGGTGACATCCAATCTGTTCTGACTCATAGTGACCCGGTAAGATAGAGTAGGGTTTCCAACGCTGGCAGTCTTTATAAATACAGGCTGTCACATCTTTCCCATGGAGGCTGGAGGGTTAAAGCTGAATGTTTAACCACTGTGCCACCAGGGTGCATACCAGCAGTATATGTGTTAGCTTTTTTATTGTGAAAGGCCATAACTTTCATGACGAAGGGATAGGAGCAGCCTTCACGCCCATCATTACGTTCACAGTTACTGTGTGTTTGTACTCTCCTCAGGACTGCTGGTCAACCTCTCCCTCATCCCAGTCATGGGAGGGCTAGCGCTGTGCACTGCCACTGAACTGAGCTTCAATGTCCTAGGCTTTTCTGCTGCTTTGTCCACCAACATCATGGACTGGTGAGTGGTTTATGGCTATTCTTGCTAAAGTAAAACAAGCTCACGTTTGAGGTGATGAATAAGACAGCTAAGTTTAAAGATTGTCTTCAATTCCACTTTTAACATTTTGACATATTTCCTTGCAGTTTTTTCCCTCTGCATTTGTCCGTCTTAGAAACATAATATGGATTCTGTCACGTGTTCAATTCATGTCCTACTTCTTTGAGCGTCATATTGTCTGAGCCCTGCTTCAGGCACTGATGTGTTAATCCAAAGCCCAATTTTCATGACTGTGTCCTGGGCCATCTTGAATTTGCATCACAGCTCAACCATTCCATGGTTGCTGAGCTCCCAGCTCTTTGTGTTCATACATAATGTTGTGGGAAACACCTTTTTATGTGAGTCCTCTGAATTTCCTAGAAGAGGAATTATCGGTTGAGCCTACAAATTTCTCTAAAGGACTTTTGACTCGTGCTGCGGGCTCGCCTGACAAGAGCTTCTGACCCTGTCCTCAGACTCCACTTTTCCCATATCCCTGGTTACTGGTGAGGGTGATGCTGTTTCATTTTGCACTAAGCCATGTGGCCATGTGCATGCAGCTCCTCCCAAGGCCTGTCCTATTTGTGAATTTTGTCCGTGTTTTTCTCCTGGGGTCTTTTTTTTTTTTCCTTAATCATGTTTTATTGTTTTCTCAGTGGTTTAGATGGCAGTTTAGGCTCTGATTCACCAATATCTGCACACGTTGTTCAGTGACCTTGGTTACATTCTTCACAACACACGAAGATTCTCATTGTTTGTATTCTGGTCATTCTGCCCTTTACATTCTAATCTTTGCTTTAAAGTAATTGTTGCCTCTGGTCTGATAACAGGTCATTTTTTTTTTTAAAGGAGCTCAATACTGACATTATTACTATGAAGTGCCGTTGAGTTGGTTCTGACTCATAGTGACCCTGTATAGGGTTTCTGAGAAGCCCGTGTTGGCTTTGAACCACTGACCTTGCAGTTAGCAGCTCAGTGTTTACCCTATAGTGCCACACCTGGACTCCACAGTACTTGGTGTTGTTGTGAAGGGCTGTCGAGTCAATTCCAACCCATAGCGACCCTGTATAGGGTTTCCAAGGAGCAGCTGGTGAACTTGAACCACCGATCTTGCAGTTCAAACGACAGCGCCACACCAGGACTTCCCAGTACTTAGGGGTGATATTTATTATTTTTAGGATGTGGTTTTAAAGAGCCTGGAGTCCTGGAGTGGTACTGTAGGATAAGTACTGGACTGCTAACCATGAGGTTGGTGGTTCAAACCCACCAGCCACTCCTTGTAACCCTATATGGGATCGCTACGATTTAGAAACAACTCCACAGCACATAACAAGAGTCCTGGTGTGGCACTGTAGGATATGCACTGACCTGCTGGCTGCAAGGTTGCTGGTTCAAACCCACCAGCTGCTCCTTGGAAACCCTATACACGGTCGCTATGAGTCAGAACCAACTCGATAGCACTTACCAACAAGTTCTGGAGTCCAAATGTGCCAATCAGGTTCTTGGCCATGTAGACTCTTTCTATGGATTTCTCCCCTAGTCGCTGGGGTTTGCCAGTGATTCTTGGCATTCCTTGACTTGTTGGATCTTCCCATGTCATCCATCTCCTGTGTGTGCCTCAGAAGGGATTAGGCTGAGGAGTCTCGCTCTACTGGTATAGTCTCATTAACATAATAAAAGAAACTCCTATTTCCAAATGGGGTCATATCTACACTAGAGGAACCAGAATTTCAACATATATTTGTGGAGGACATAGTTGAGTCCACAACACAAGGACTTGTGAAGTGCTTGAAGCATAGACATTAGGGTTTCTGAGGCTTCAAAGATGTGTGACTCTACTGTTGAGCATCTCAGTGTACCCACCTGTAAAATGGGATGGCTATCAAGCCCACCTCACAGTGAGAGGCTGCCTGGAAGGACTCAGGTCAGTGCTCGTCTCTGTGAGTGTGCGCTGGCTGCTCCCTGACTATTGTCATTATTGTCACTGTCATTTAATGATAATGAAAATACTTTGTGCATTTGATGGTCTGCCATGCAGATCCATCAGTGTAACCTTTTCTTGTCTTTTCTTTATTCTAGTCTTCAAAATGTTTTTTCAAAAAAGCTCCTCAGTGGGGACAAGTACAGGTTCTCGTAAGTATTGTCAGTGAGTGAATCTGGAATTTTGTAGAGCTCTGGGCCGGGGTGGGTTCTTTCCTCTGTTAGGGTTCAGAATACTCCTGAGACCCAACACTTTCCCATGGTGACTTCAGTCAGTTGTTGTCAAGTAATCCCTGACACAGGTCAGAGCAGAACTGGACTCCATAGGGTCTTCTTGGGTTTTTTTTTTAATTAATTTTGTTATTGTTGTTGAGGCTATACAAACAAAACATACACCGGTTCAACAGTTTCTACACATACAGTTGAAATTCAGTGACAGTCTTCCACAGGGCTTTCTTTTCTTTCTTTAAATTGTGGCAATATATACACAACAAACATCGGCAATTTCAACCATACTTTCCATGTATAATCAGCCGCACAAGCCACACTCCCCACATTGCACAACCACCATACAATCCATTTACAAATCTTTTTTCTCTCTCTCCTTTTTTTTTTAAATCTCACTTCTTTTCTTTCATTTGCAGGAAAGTTCCCAATGTTTATCCTAATGAGAAAATAAATATACTTTATTTCCTTTCAAGAACATGAAAAACAAAAGTAGTTTCCTTTTCTTTTCCCTTCATTTTTTTCCTTTTTAACCACCTTTCCCGTCACCTAGGTTAACATGTATCTAACTCTACCCAGTGAATAATTCTCCCTTCCCTCCCACCCCGGCAACCATCTCAGAATGTTTATTACAGTATAAAAACCTTTTCTTGACTTTTTATAGTGTGGTCTCATACAGTATCTGTCTCTTTGCAACCCACTAATTTCACTCAGCGTAGCGTCCTCCAGGTTCCTCCATACAGTTTTCAGTGAGTGATTTTTCTGAAGATCGCTGGGGCCTTTTTTCCAATGTGCCTTTGGATGTACTTAAGCCTCTAAGCGGTTTTGGTTATCAGCTGAGTGCATTGACCATATGGACCATCCAGGGACTACCATCTTGGCTTCTTGTTGTTAAGTGCTGTGGAGGCTGGACATCATTGCTGGAACAGAAAGCCTCATCTTTCTCCCATGGAGCAATTGGTGGGCTTGAACCGTAGACCCTGTGGTTGGCAGCCCAGTGCTTATTGTAAGTCTAGTGTTTATTGTACAGAGCCACCATGCTTTTCCCATTTTGACTCGTTTTTGTTATTAAGTGTTGTAGGGTTCGTTCGGACTAATAGCAACCCTGCATAGGGCTTCCGAGGAGCAGCTGGTGGGTTTGAACCACCAACCTTGTGGTTAGCAGTCCAGTGCTTATCCACAAGTGCCACACCATTTTGGCCTAGGTGGCCTGTAACAGTATTTTGTTGAAACTCAAGATAAAAAAAAACCCAAAAAGAACCCCATGTTTTCACTTGCTCCTTCAGGCTGGTTTTCATTTCTGGGCAGCTGTATCATTCTCTCTGCTACTCACAGGTCCCTCCCGTTGTCCCCGGTGGAACTAAAACACCAGTGAACTCAGCTATGGAGAAGTCTTTATGCTAAGAGCTGATACACATGGAAGTGTTGCTAGTTGTAAAGTGTTTGGTGAAGAGCCAGCTCGTCCTAAGGGTGTAACAAGGGCTCAGGCACCTTCTCTCTGTCTCTGCAGGGCCCCGGAGCTGCAATTCTACACCAGCGCCGCTGCTATGGCCATGCTTATTCCAGCCTGGATCTTCTTCATGGTGGGTTCTAGAAATGTGGCACTCGGTGGTGTGGGGCTGCTGGCTACCCTCTACCATTAAGGAGCAGGGTGATGTCACTTTCCAGGTTCTGTGGCTAGCTGGCTGGTATGTTGCTCTGTCAGCTGCTGTTGAGTGGGCCCTGACTCCTGGAGATCCCATACACAGGTGTGGAACACTGCCGGGTTCTGTGCCTTTCCTCTGATCCATTGAGGATTGGACTGCTGTAACCCAGAAGGTTTTCATTGGCTGAGTTTTAGAAGTTGATTGCCAAGCCTTCGTTTCTAGTCTGTGTTAGTCTGGAAGCTGCACTGAAGCCTGTTCAGCATCATAGCAATACACAAACCTCTGACAGACGGCACTGGCTGCTCAAGAGGCGTGTAACTGGAAAATGAACTCTGGTCTCCTTCATGGATGGCAAATATTCTACCCCTGAACTGTCATTGTCCCTGGTTGGTACGTTAGCTCTGCTGAGTTGTGTATAAAATATCCAAGTTACCTCATGGACCTCCTGCTCTGCTGTGTATGCGCATGTAAGGCATATCCAGCCAAATGGGAACTACGGGAGTATCATAGATTGAACTGTGTCCTCCCAAAGTATGTGTCAACTATGTTGGGTCGTGATTCTCATTGGTTTGGCAGTTATGTGATAATTCCCTATGATCTGATCTGATGTGGTAACGTGATCCAGAGGATTAAGGGTGGGCTGCAATAATACCCTGATAGTCCTTATGTAGTGCTGTTGGTTAAGCTCTGGACTGCTAACCACAAGGTTGGCGGTTCAAACCCACCAGCTGCTCCTTGGAAACTCTCTGGTGTTGTTGTTAAGTGCTGTTGAATCAATTCTAACTCATAGCAACCCTGTATAATGTTTCCAAGGAGCAGCTGGTAGGTTTGAACGGTTGACCTTGTGGTTCAAACCGACCTTGCTGGCCACTGCTTTATCCTACAGTGCCACACCAGGACTCATAGAAACCCTATACAGGACTGCTATTAGAACTGCCTAGATGGCACATCCAACACCATCACCACCAATACCTTTAATCCCCTCACAACCCTGATGTGATGTAAGGGAGTTTCCCAGGGGTGTGGCCTGCAACATCTTTCATCTTACAAAGATAAAAGCAGAGAGAAGTGAAACTCACCAGTTGTTCCTCAGAGACCCTATACAGGGTCGCTTTGAATTGGAACCAACTTGATGGCACTTAACAACAACTACCAACAAGAAAGAAGAGCCCAGAGTGGAGTTTGTTCTTTTGACTTGGGGTCACTGCACAGTAAAGCTCCTAGGTCCAGAAGAGCGATGCCAAGACACAGGGAGATCTCCAAGGAATGCTGGGCGTACAGATGCTGAAAGGAGCCAGGACCTTTCCCTAGAGCTAGTGAGCTGGCATAGAGACGAGGCCTTCCCCTAGAGCCAGCACTCTGAATTTAGACTTCTAGCCTCCTAATCTGGTGTGGCACTGTGGGTTAATGTGCTGGACTGCAAAGTCGTTTGAACCACAAGGTTAGGGGTTCAAGCTCACCAGGGTCACTATGGGTTGGAACCAACTCCACAGCACTTAACAACAGCAAAACTTCAAGACAATACATTGTTGTTTGTTAAAACCACCTACTTGTGATATTCCTGTTATAGACGCGCTCGAGAACTTAGACAAGGAGGCTTCTAAGTTGTGTGTGCAAGGTTTTTAGGTTTGCTTAATGTTTTCCTTTTGTTGAAAGAGATCACATATGTCCATTGAAGAAAAGGCAATAGTGGTGGTGTTAAGTGCTATCAAGTCAGTTTCAACTCTTAGCAAACCTGTCTAGGGTTTCTAAGGAATGGCTGATGGGTTTGAACCACCAGCCTTGTGATCAGCAGTCCAGTGCCACACGCCCATCAATAGTGTAGAGCGTATAAAATAGAAATGATAGTCTATCTCCTAATCCCCTCCCTCACACTCCTAGGGGCGCGCCCTCTTGATAATTTGACAGTTTTCTTCCAGACGTTGGTTGTGTGAATACAAATGTACACACGTGTGCATATGTGTAGTTTGATACTACTCGTTTTATAGCACACCTGTATAATCTATGGAAACATTTCTGGGGCATCGGGGGAGGCTGTCTGAGAACGCGGTCTTGTCCATGTCAGACAATCGACAGCAGCTTTTTGCTTTATGTAAAGTACAGCCCTGCCCCGACCACTCACTTCCCTCTGAGGGACACGTGACTGCCCTGTGCTCTACCCTATTACAAACATCTGATGGGGAACTTTTCGTGTCCACATGCTTTTTCTCTGGGATAAAACCATAAACTATCGCTGATTCCTATTTGTTGTGACCCTATAGGACAGAACAGAACCGTCTTACAGGGTTCCCAAGACTGTAAATCTTTAGGAAAGTAGACGGACACATTTTTCTCCCTTGGAGCAGCTGGTGGGTTCGAACTGCCAACCTTTTGGTCTGCAGCCGAGTGCTTAACCAGTGTGCCACCAGGGAAACTACTTCTCTGGGATATTGTTGTTAAGTGTCATCCAGTTGTTCCTGTATGGGGTTTCTGAGGAGTGGCTGGTGTGTTTGAGCCACCAACCTTGTAGTTAGCAGTCCAGTGCTTATCCTACAGCAGATTTGACTGGGCTAGATGGCTGGAATTGGAAGAGTTGACAGAGAACCTGGATGTTTGATACGTATCCTCTATACTGCTCAGCTGCGTGCGTGAGTTTCCTAGAGCTGCCATAGCAAAGCATCTCTCACACTGGGTGTTTCAGACAGCAGCAATCTCTCCTCTCTGAGTTCGGGGAGTCAGAATCCAAAATCATGGTGTTGGCAGGACCGTGCACTCTCTGAAGGCTCCTTCCTTGCCTCTTCCAGCCTCTCATAGTCCCTGGGTGTCCCTTGACTTGTGCAATGCTAGTCCAATTGTTTTCTCTGTGGTCAGATGGCTGTCTTCCTCAGGTGTCTGTTTCCAAATCTCCCCCTTTGAATCATGATACCAGTCATTAGATTTAGGGCCCACCTTCATCCAGTATGGCCTCATTTTCACTTGATTCAACCTGCAAAGACCCAATTTCCAAGCAGAGTTATTTATGTTCACAGGTAACCCAGGCTTAGGATTTGACGTATTTTTCTGAGAAACACAATTCAGCCCCCACCACTACCTTAACAGGCCATTTTCAGAGCCCTCCTCAGTGGCAATTTGTAAATCTAGATTGCCGGGCTAAAGTGACATCATGGAAGCAGGTGTGTCTTCCCAGTGGACCGTTGGTAAGTGCCATGCGTGCCTAGTGGAGGATCCTTCTTGTCTTGACACCAGGATATGCCAGTGATTGGGAGGAGTGGGAAGAGCTTCCGGTACAATCAGGATGTGATGCTCCTGCTGTTGATGGACGGCGTACTGTTCCACCTACAAAGCGTCACAGCCTACGCCCTGATGGGAAAGATCTCTCCCGTGACCTTCAGGTGAGTGAGGGCCTTCCTGTGACATGGGGCTCAGGCTGTTTGCCTACTTGATATTTAGGCATTCTGAATTGTGTTGTTGTTGTTAGTTGTCATTGTGTCAGTTCCAACTCCCAGTGTCCCTGCATACAACCGAATGAAACCCTGCCCAGTCCTGTACCATCCCCACAGCTGTCACCATGCTTGAGCCCATTGTTGCGGCCACTGTGACAATCCATCTCATTGAGGGTCTTTATCTATTTTGCTGACTCTCAGCTTTTACCAAGCATGATATGTTGTCCTGGGGAATGGTCCCTCATGATAATACGTCCAAAGTCTCTCCATCCTTACTTCTGACAAGCATTCTGATTGGACTGCTTCCAAGACAGATTTGTTCATTTTTCTGGCAGCCCATTGTTACAAATGTCTAATGTAATTTAAAATATAAGAAGAAATGTTAATAATCAAAGCTGTTAAAAGAATCGGAGTCCCTGAGTGGTGCCAAAAGTTAAGTGCTCAACTACTAGCCAAAAGGTTGGTGGTTCAAACCCACCTAAGGGTGTCTTGGAAGCCAAACCTGGTGTTCTGCTTCCAAAAGGTCCCAGCTTTGAGGACCCTGTGGAGCGGTTCTCTGTGCCCCACATGAGGTCACTGTGAATCAGAGTTGACTACAATGGCAATAATGATAAATAAATATAAAATCCATGAAAACAATAAATAATAAATATGCAGAACATATAGATCATAAAAATAAATATAAAGAAATAAGCCAAAGTTTTTTTTGTTTTTTCTTTTAATGGCAAATTTCTTTACTGAGAACTGTGTGGTTATAGGCTCCTAATCACTAAACCATTGTTCATTGATTCTACTTCAAATGCCAGCAATAAAGTAATGTGAAATGGGTTCTTAGAGAACTTGCTTTAGAAATCTATACTTTAGAAGAGGAGTTGATGATTTGGAGGGGTCTGTGGATCATCTCCCAGGACAACACTATCCTAGACTTGGCGATGGACAGGTCTCTTCCCCCTTGCTGCCCCCCCTAGCAGCCATGGCATCTGGAAAAGAGCCAAGTCAATGAGGAACTGGATTTTCAATTCGGTTTAATTTTCATCGGTTTACATTTCAGTGGCCATGTGACCAGTGACCCATCATGGGGCAGCATAGCTCCAGAGATGTGGACATGAGATAAAGACCCCTGAGTTTCTTTCCCTCTTGTCTTGATGTAGGCAATGAGAGGACAGCTTGAAGACAGGTGTGTTTAGTTACAGATATAAGGGAATGCTCTGAAATCACCAGCAAACAAAAGCCAAAACCCAGAAAATCCATTCTTATTTTTTTTGCTTTGTTTTGTTTTTTAATTGTGATAAAAAATCTCTTACCAAGCATTTGACAATTCAGTCCTTTTTTAAAAAAAGGCTTATTCTTCTTCATATTGTTATTATTCATATTCTAACAAGTCCCAATTGGTTGTCGAGTCAGTTCTGACTCCCGAGAGCCCCATGTGTGTCAGAGTAGAAGCATGCGCACTAGGGTTTCCAGGGGTTGATTTTTCAGAAGTAGATTGCCAGGCCTTTCATTCGAGGCCCCTCTGGGTAGACTTGAACCTTCAAACATTGGCACCACCTAGACTTGAAGAAAGGTCAATAAATGCCAAGCACATTAACTTTTTGCACCACCCAGAAACATTTAAGGGGGCTTCCAAAAGTTTGTCGAGAAATTACATTGTTTTCATTCCATCTTCCCACCAACTTTTTAAAGCTCCCTTTATTTGGTATGTGTGTGTTTGAATTCCACTGGGATTAAAGTATGTATAAAAATGTTTATTATAACATTTTTTTCTATGTTTCTGTTTAATATTTTTCATAATAATAAAAAGCATTCCTCCAGAAAAGGAGGGAGCCAGCCCTTAGTAAAGTTTCTGCATCCCCTCTGTCCCATGGTGCCTGGATTCGGGGCCATCAGAGCCCTGCAGTTTCCCTGGACCCAGCGGCACTGTTGCAGGGGAGGGCTGGGCCATGCATGGCGTCCCCCTTTGACTTGCCCTCTGTTGTTACAGCGTTGCCAGTACTGTGAAACACGCTTTGTCTATTTGGCTCAGTATTATCATTTTTGGCAACAAGATCACCAGCCTGTCAGCCGTTGGCACAGTCCTAGTGACAGTCGGTGTCCTACTCTACAACAAGGCCAAGCAGCACCAGCAGGAGGTCATGCGGAGCTTGGCGGCAGTCCCCAGCAGAGCCCTGGAGGAGGATGCGGAACCACTACTACCCTCGGACCCCCGACCACACCACTGAGCCACGAACTTTCTCATTGAAGCTGGACCACCAATTTTGGACTCCCCGGGGTCCAGGCCGGGCACAGGGTTGCCCAATTCCCCAGTCACTGTTGGGGTGCTGGAGACTAGGGAGTGTGCAGGTGGGCACCGCCTTCTCCTGACCTGGTTTTTAGTCAAGATTGTCCAGCATGTGAGGTTCCAGGTGTTGGCTCTCCGGGTGGGCCCAAAGCCCAGCCTTCCTATGCTCCTCGCCAAATAATGTGAAAACCACTTCTGCCCAAGCACCTGGTGGGGGGATGTTGGAATCCAGTCCCTACAGCCCCCTCACTGGCTCACATCCAGCTTTGCTGAAGCTAGACTTCACATTCCCTACTGTCTGGTCATCCATTGTGGTCAGCTGTGAAGCTGGGCTGGGTGTAGGTGCGAGCTGCATGCCTGGTGCCAGAAGAGAGAACTCTGCTGCCCATGCCAAGCACTAAGGGCTGCCAAAGTCCCCGCCGGATGCTCAGTATCTGGGGATACCAGACCTGGTCACCTTTGATTGTGCTGCCCCATGTGTGGAGCTAAGTCGGAGAGCTGGGGCAGCTGCAACCATGGCAACAGGTATCCTCCAGCTGAGGGCAGGGTGATTGGTATCTATCTTCCCACCTTACTCTCAAGGTGGTGTGGGACCAGGGCACCTTCTTTCTGGCTGTATCAAAGTCTCATTCCTTTACCCTCAAAGCTGCAGTATTGTGCGGACCAGAAGAAGACAGATCATTCCTCCGGGCTGGTATAAAATTGCTTCGGTGAGTTTGGGAGGGAAAGGTTCACCGCCCCCACCCCGCAAGTGTCAACTCATGCTGTCCTAAGCTATCCTTGACTTGAGCATTCTTCTCCTCACCTGTGGCCAGCAGCTCACTCCTGGACTGAGTTTCCCTGACCTGAAGATGAGGACAGACATCCTCAGTGTTTAATCACATGGGAAATGCTGACCCCCAGTTCTCCTGGGCTGAGTCACACAGCAGAGCGGTGTCTGGACTTGGTGCTGGTAGCTGTGTGGCTGGAGATGCTTGATCTCATCCATGGACCCTGAGAAGAATGCCCCATAGAGCTGTTGAGCCTGGAGCATCAGGGACAGTATTTGCGGTGTCTGTCAGTCCTTGAGTTGCGTTTCACACGTTGTTGTGGTTTTTGAAAAACCGAGGGCACACACAGCAGGTTTCTGGAACGTATGGTGTGTGTTTGGAAAAAGGACTCGGCTGGACCGGCTCCTCTATAAGGTTGAAGCACACCTGAGCCATGTCTGTGGCCCCCGCTCCCAGTCGGCCCTGGCACACGCTATCTCGAAAGGACTCACTCCTGGTGCTCAAGGAGGCCGAAGACTGAGTGTGTGGGTGGCCAATGCAGGTATTGGCAGTAGGCTCTGCTGAGGGCTTTCACCGCTTCCCTTTACTCTACACCATGCGTCCTGAGGGGATTTCTGATTGGGGTACAGTCCATCACTAGCCAGTCTTTGAGGCCCCCTCCATTGCCCCAAACTCTGGAGGCTTGTTAGTATGAGGTTGGCTAACAAAAGCAAGAAATTCCCTCGCTAGCTGGCGCCGTTTCTCCTTCTGCCATCCCATCCCGGACTCCCATCATTGTTTCCCTGCTTTCCACTTGGCTTCTCACCCGGAAAATGTCAAGTGGAAAAATAGCCTCTCCTGGAAATCTGATCTCTCTGAAACAAAGAGCAATAATTCCGTCTCATTGAGTCCCACCCACTTGGAAAGTTTGCCTCCATGGCTGATCAAAGCCAGGCACAGCAGCCAAGTCATCCTTTCAGCACAGTTGATCCCTGGTGTCAGCTCGTTGGCACCCAGCTGGCGTCAGCTGTGAGAATGTTTTCTCATTCCCTTCATCTTTTTCTGTTTTTCTCAAAAACAAAACTGAATTCATCAGCCATGGCTGGGTGTCCCAGGGTAGCTAGATGCAGTGGATGATCTGCCTCCCCAGGATTCCTGTCCCCCCAACCAGGACCCTTGCCACCACTTCCTTTGAGGGTATGGCTGCCCAGCCAGCTCCTGACTGCTGGGGTGGGGCAGAGATGAGGGCAACATCTGTGGTGGGCCCATGGCAGGGTTTTTCCATTGGCCTTCTCAAAGATTTTTGTCATCTGAGAATGACCAGATGCTCAAACCTCTGGTTTCTAAGTATTTTCAATATTCCAATGTGGTAATTCGTGCCTCTCTCTGGTGCCTCAATTTGTTCTTGACTAGTAAATGTTGGTAGTTCAAACACCATCACCCCCTCCAGCAGCACCTAGAAAGAAAGATGACAGCCAAGAACCCCACAGAGCTCAGTTCTACTCTGTAACGCATGGGCTCACAGTGAGTGGGCATCAACTCCACTGCAGGGCTTTGGTTTGGGGGGCTCTGTAACCCCCACCAGCAGCTTTTGGCCTGTTTCAGGTTTCCGAATGTGTGGACTGGAAAGCAAATGAGGATTTCACTAAATGGTTACCAATAATGTAACCACTTGCAAAGCTGCTTTTAAGACCTTCCTTGTCTTGAGTGGCCTGTCCCCAGAGATAGTCCCCAGCGTCCACTTCTCCACGTGTTTCCAGGACATCCCTGCACCTTGAGTTTGGAGCCAAAAGCCTGTAAACTTTTGTTTAATGGCTGTGCAGAGACAATGTTTTTTGTTTTTTTTTTAATATGCCTAGTGATTTTATAGACTAGTATGTTCTTGTTGGACCATTGATGATGTGCTGTATAAACACCAACACAGTGTCATCACTCGTGTTGGGTTAACTCCTCTTGGATCCGTGGTCATTGTCTGTGCCTTTGTAAAGAAACAAGACACTTGAAGCAAACTTTTCACATTGAATCATCTGCTGACTCACACTGATGCTTAAAAATGGACAGATTCCTAACATTTAAGAACCTTTCCACTACCATATGGGACTCAAAGCTTTCCTTGGAAAATCCAATCATTGTCATTTCATACATATCACTTAAAATAAGCTGTCTGGAAAGTTGAGCATACTCTTGCACAATCCAAAATTTATCTGTAATTTGAGAAAAATAAACATGGCATGGCTTAGAAAGAGTAAAAAAAGAAGGAAAAGGAAAAAGGAAGCACTATACAAAGAATGAAAGTTAAATAAAGCTGTCCTTTATGTCTGACGTTTTTCATTTCTATCTCCAAACTATGAATTGGTTTTGCTTCTTGTTGATACTTTTATTGGGCTGGTCATTTAGATGGGTCAGTTGGGGCGGGGAAAGCACAAAACCACTTCCTAAATCTGTCCATGTGATGTGCTTTTAAGGCCTGAAAGTATTTTCATTATTTCCATGGGTTGGAAAAGTGAACCTGGATGTGATTAGCTGTAGAAATCATCTTCCCTCCTTTTGCCATTGATCAACATTGCACTAAGGGCTTTATTCTTTCCAAAAATACATACCTTGGGCCTCTTCATTTTCTTAATTTATAAATAAAGAACGTCCAGGAACAGTCTTGGCATTTTCTCTCTGTCATAGCTGAGGAGCCAAGAGGGAGTCTTGGGAGGTTGTGGTAACTGGGTCTGCCACTCAACTGAGTTCAGAGTGCAGAATCTTACTGTGCTTTCTCTGAGGTAACTGGGTCTTTCCCCTGATAACCAAACTTGGTCAGATACTGTTCTTATGGGCAAATTATTATTTTTTGGTTTGTTTGCTCCCTTTGTTTTGTTCCGCTTCCATCTGAAAGAAAGTGGAATGCAGGTGGTTTCGTTGTTTCTAAGAAGACCTGTGAGCTGAGGTGTCTGAACCTGCACACAGGTCCTCTGTTAAGGAGAAGAGAGCCTGAGTCTAGTGATTTTACCACTTTGAGAAACTTGAAGATTATATCACGAATTGTCTACATCAGAGCCAAATTATATTTGCTTCACACCAAATGAAACTGTGGAGAACTAAAAGTACATTACACAAAATGTTTAGTGTGTTGTATGTCACCTACTTCAATATTTATATAACTAGATGAATGCTTTCTAGAAAATGGTTCTGTTAACTAATTTCACAAGTCACTGTTATTTCTGTGGTGGTAATAAGTAGACAGTGTGTCATTAATCCTGTGGATGCCTTCTGCTATTTTAATCTTAATAAGCAGCCATTGTAGCAATTGGTTTGTGACTCTTTATTTTGTAAAAGTAAAGTAAATGTGAAACATGTACCTCTTGTCTTTGACTTTCTTCATTGGGTAACTGTCATGTGTTTGTGCTACTCCAGTGATCAAAATTGGCTTCTTGTTAACCTTCAACCAATTTCCAGTATGAATGGGAGAAAAAAGGAAGTTACCCGAGTCACTAAGGACTCAGTAAGCAAAGTAACATCCTGACTACATGAAGCAAGGAATCCTGGTGTAGTGCTATAGAATAAGCACTGGATTGCTCACCTAAGGTTAGTGGTTCAAATCCACCAGCTGCTCCTTGGAAACCCTGTACAGGGTGGCTATGAATCGGAACCCACTTGAAAGCACTTAACAATACAAAGTAAACACTTCTTTGTGGGAGACAAATTCCAACTGTAGTAGATCAGATCTACTGCATGGGCCCTTTTTGTGCCCTGATTAATTTGTCCCATTTTCCTGCATTTTCCATGTCAGATACATGGATGCAGATGAGTGGTCATCTTCTGTAGTTTCTTCCTTGGAATTCAGGATGTTGGATTGCTAGTTACCTGTGACTTAAACACAAAAGGAACACAGACTAATTTGAGATAGTAAAGGGTAATGTTTCATTACGTTGAAGAGTTTATTTCATTTTGGAAAGATTCAAGAATCTTGCAGCTCTTTCCCAGCGAGACTAGGAAATATTTCTCTGAACAAAAACCAGCATGCATTTTATATAAACAAAAAGGCAGAGAAAATGACAACATGGGACAAAAAATATCTTTTGACATACTGTCAGGTCATGCAGAGAGCAAAATGTGTGACGTGCGTCTTATCTATTCAGAAGGGTCTGCTTAATATCTAAGCTAAAATATCTAAGGAGTACCCATGTCCCCATGCTCGTAGCAA